AACAAGAATGACATGAAATGATTCATAATTGCAATTGTCAAAATTTATTCTACAAAATCTTTGTGGCGACATCCATAGACTCTTTCCCCAACTTGTATATCCATCTCAAGTCACGTGGTTCCCAGTGTCCCCATATTTTCAAGTATAAGTTCTGTATTAATCTATGTATAAGTTCTCGGGCCCTGCTAGGAGTAGCATCTAACGAAGAGGGCACTTGTATACCATCCATCCACACATCAAATCTATGGTTTGAGAACTCTAAACGAAACGTCATCACTCTCTTCTTTGATTTTGTCACAGTTATATATTTGTTATTATCTATGGCCACAGTTTTACACGATACGCATGTCGCGTGTTCAATAAAATACAATTGAATAGTAGTGGTGGTGAATATCTTTTTGGGAGTTTAGTTGGATCATCATAATTTTAATTTATGATCATAAATTTGACAGTATATTGGATTTAGGATTAGGTTTTTGACAGCCGTCTGTAGTTGGGTTGGATGTTGGATTAGTCTTACGTTTACGTTTAACAAAATGGTAAGTTTTACCTGAAATTATAATAATGAAAATGTTTTGAAAATATGTTTTTAGTCATTTCAAGGCAAAATATCAGCGTTAATGGCACGACCCGGCCAAGATCCTGTTTCTAAAGATGACGTCCCCTGGTGGTTGAAATTTGGTGGCAGGGGGGTTGGTACTGTAGGAGGTGCTAGTAAGTCTTTAATTAGGAGAATGTAATGATTTTTTAGTAAATTTGAACCATTTATTTTCTAGTTGCTATTTTTTTGGGGGTGTGGAACTGTACAGGAATACTAGGTGCAAATATTGATGCTCTGATCAGTGGTGTGTGGCAAATTCTAGCGGGTTTTGTAGTGATTTGTTGTGAAGCACCTTGTTGTTGTATGTTTATAGATCATGTACAGAGATTTAGTGACTGGATTGACAAAAGGCCCTATTGGAATCGAGCATTGGGATATGTAGTGTGAGTAAGATCTGTAAAATTTATCACAGTTGGATTATATTGAGAGTGATTTATTACAGTAAAAGATAAGTTCTCTAATGCTTTAATAAGTTTTACCAAAAGTGATAACAAAATTATTTTATAAAAACTGATCAAAACTACGTTTTAAAATTTCGCTTTTAATGGGCTGTAAGGGTATTGTTTTTGTCTAACTTTATTTCAATAAACTGTAATTATTTACAAGTTCCAAAAATTTTATATACAATATAATTAATATGCTGGTGAAATACAGCTTGAAAGACTACTAGAAGACAAATAAGTATATTTAATGTACTTGATTGAGATTAAAATTAAACTTAATATTTATTTTATTTTTAAAGAATAGATTATGTGACATATTTTTGTTGAGTGTGCCTAAATAACAGTACAATTGATACATTTACATAGAAGAATATTTTTTTGAATAAAATTTTGTGAACCTGCATTTTAGAAAAATGCAGGTTATTGTTAATTATGTATAGGTACTTACACAAACATATACAATGTGTTCATGGATGGGTTTGAAAAGAGGGAAAACGTTTTTTGCTTTTGGTCAAATATAGAAAAATGTTTTAAGTTTGACAACAAACAAAGTGCCCTCTACAAAGAACTGATTAGAAATATGGTAATTGATTTTATCCAAAAAAAACGATGCTATTTAAATATTTAATATCCACAGGGTGTCCACATATTGTCTTAACCAAAATGACAAAAAGTTAATCTAAAATTGTGGCATTTTGGGGAACAATGATTGAGAGTAGTTTATTCCATATTTTTATTTCTGAAAAATTTGTATGCTCTTGTCAAGAATATAAAAATTCTGTGTAGGTAAAGTCCTTATTTCCTGAATTTTTTCCTAATCACTTAACAAAAAAGTGCAAGTTACCTACACAGCAAGGAAAAATGGAAACATCAAAATGGGCCCATTGCTTCTAAATTTAGAAAAGCGAAGTAAATTTTAATTGTCAACAAATTTTCCTAATAAATTTTTTTTTTATATATTGTACGAAAAACACAGTTTATCTACACAGAAAATTATTTATTTGTTCCCCAATATGATTTCCGCACAAAAATTTTCGCAAATGGTTGGATGCCCTGTATATATTAAATTTTGGAAACGGATTGGCTATTCATATGTTTCTTAAATGGCACAATGTACAAGGTTTGATCAAAAAGTAATGGGAATTGTTTGTTTTCTCAAAGTATTTATTTAATCTTCAATTTTTATCCCAACCCCTTCAAAGTAGCCCGCCTGTAATATTATACACTATGCCAATGTAGTTTCCAGTTTAAGAAAGTTACAGGGGTCATGTCTGGAGGGTGGTCGCGGGTTCACAACGTTGTTGTGTTGTACTAACTGTTGGATAAGCAAAGCCATATGCGCCGGTGTGTTGTCGTGATGCAAAATCCATGAGTTGTCTCTCGTATTCTTGTAATTTTCTTCTGATTGGTAAACTTGTGGCTGTGACATAGTATTGTCACCAAAGGTCTTTAACATATTGAATTGCTCGCTAAACACAAACTAAGTCTAGCAGCTGCCTAAAAATGTGCAGGTACGTCACTGATAGTGCTACCAATACACAAAAAGAGAACAGTTGGAAAGAGAAGATACAAACACACGTAATTTGAAAATTCCCGTTATTTTTTGATCATTTAGAGAGTGCTAAGGACAAAATCGCTCGTATTTCTAATTTCTTAACAGGGGTCCCCTGTGTATGTTAGCCTAATCAAAACTATGAAAGTATTTTTACATCTGAAACCAATGTTTTTGACTTTCTTAAATTTAAAATACGAATGTTTTCCTTCTATTCAACGCCAACCATGATACACTACTATGTATGTGTATCAAATTAACTATATAAATGAAAACTAACCTCTATAGCAATTTTTGTTGTAAAGTATACAGGGTGTGATTTACTTTTATGATTAGGACTTTAACCATCGATAGATTCTTCTTCATTCTTTTTTTGATTTTATTTATTTTTTCTAAAACTATGATAGCCATTTGTTTTATATTTATTATGAAGTGTGCGAATTAAAAGCTCTATCGATTTTACAAATTATTGTGAAAATAGATCAATCATAGGCGTCTGCAAGGGGCTCTGCTAATCCCTTTTTTTAATATAATTTCTACGCCACTGGAAATTTTTCAAAATTAATAAATTTTTTTACATTGCGGTTTATTCTGCAGCAAAAAGGACTTACTATTTTTAAATGAAATGCTTGGTTTTTGAGAAAAATGGCTTATGGATTCATTACATGGAAAATAGTTAAGTTTTTCAAACAGAGAAGATTTAAATATATGGGTTCAGATAGATCGTGCTCCAGCTCATTATGGTTTTCAAATTAGGCAGTGACTCGGGGAACACTATCAATGTCGTTGGATTGAGCGTATTTTGGAAATGAATCGTGCCAAACTTGGTACCGGTCCCATATTGCTTGGCTGTCACAATCGCTAGATCTAAATCCCATGGATTATTTCGTTTGGGGATATATTAAAGAAAGTTTGTACTTTTGAAAGGTTAAGAAGAATTGAAAATAATTGTGAAACTTTTAAACACAACCCCAATATGATTACGAGAGCAGTTCAAAGCTTAATTAGGCGATGTGAGAAATACATTGAGGTCAAGGACAACATTTCGAACATTTGTTGTGATACTTTTTCTTTTGTTCTCTATTGTTAATTGTTATTTCTGTTTGTTTCTCAATATTAAATATTTTATTTATATATTACTTTGTTTGAAAATTTCACACGTAATGAATCCATAAGAAACTATTTTTGTCAAAAACCAAGCATCTCATTTAAAAATAGTAACAGACCTTTTTGCTGCAGAATAAACCGCAATGTAAAAAAATAACAAAATATATTAATTTTGAAAAATTTCCAGTGGTGTAGAAATTAGGGGTTAGCAGAGCTCCTTGCGGACGCCTATCATTGATCTATTGATCTATTTTCACAATAATTTGTAAAATCGATAGAGCTTTTCATTCATACACTTCATACTAAATATAAAACAAATGGCTTTCATAGTTTAAGAAGAAATAAATAAATACCAAAAAAAAAAATTGTTTTTCAAGATATCTCTAAAAGGAAGCCTTTGGAAGAAAAAATGTATACTTCAATCACAAAAAGTGAATCACCCTGTATATTGAAGAAAATTATAAATAGTTGTGTCGACAATCTATATTACAGAAACATCAGAAATCGTGATTATAAAGACATGTTGAACAAAATATTGGTTCAGATAACTAATAGCTGTTTTACATTGACAATTTATTGATCAATTAATTCATGAAGTCGCTTCATCAAGAAATTGGACATGTGTAATGAACCAAATCTGCCGTCAAATAACTAATTTTCGTGAATTTCTTCGTGAAGTTCGGAAGTACCAACCCAACAGGTATCCAGCCTCAGAGCAGTAATTAGGTTATGTTATTGGAATATGTAAATAATTGTGTGGCATCATGCTGGTTTTGCATTGTTTTTACTGATTTGTTACTTACAAAAACTAATATTTATATAATATGTGTCAGAACGGTACCGCTGTTGTATCACTATAATTATGAGTGGAAAGGTGACATTTTTGAAATTTATTTGCTTCTTTGATTCATTGATAGAACTGATTCATATGTCAAAAAACTTGACAAAGTCTGTAGCAGTGTAAAATCACACTGTTTACCAATAAATTCGTGAATTAATTCATGAAGAACTTCGTCAATTTATTCATCAATAAATTGTCAATGTAAAACAGCTACAAGAAATAAAAGTAACTGAAATTCGCATTATCAAGACATTACCGTATATTTTCATTTTAAAAACAATAATGTAATAAAACTATCAGTTCTCTTGGAGCAAAAAGGGAAACGGTTAATTTAAATTCTAATTATAGCATTTGTAATTAAGGATATTTCAGCTGTAGTTGAAATAAATATTTCATTCGAAACTGATTGGTATAGAGAGAAATAATATATTTTTATTTTAAACAGACGTTTTCCTAAAAATTATAAAGATAGTACCTAGATACAATTTAAATTTTTTCAACTAGACAGTGTACCTTTGTATATTCCATTAAAACATTCTTTCACAAATAGAGTAACCTGTATACATTGAAGGTCTGTTTATAAGATATGTTAAGAAAGAGTGCATTATAAAAGTGATGTTTTAAACCAATTGCCATTTTTACATTTTTAATTTTCTATTTGCTTTTTAGATTAGCTGTCCCGCCAATAGCAATAGATCCTTCTTTTTCCATTATATTTGGATCAGGATTAATTTTCACCACTGGCATCCTATATGGAATGATGGCCTTAGGCAGAAAGTAAGTAAAAGTATATTTCTGTCGTTACAATTATGTTAATAATTTATTAAGAGTTCATTCATTTAAAAATAACTCATATTACTCAAATTAATGATTCTAACTCAAGCTTAAGCAATAATGTACTAACAAATGAAATCAATTTTTTTTAACCTAGTACAGAATGAATTGGAAAATGTCTGGAAAAAATGAAATGGTGGGGTCCTTGTTCAGTTTTATAGCGGCTGTTTTATATTATAGGGGTGTTTTAAGTGGGACATGTTTATTTTTCATGTTTTTTCGAACATGGCTACAGATAGAAAGATGAATTTTATTACGGGCATTGTTCTAATCATATGCCATTACATTAATATAATTGCCATTTTTTTCCTACATAGAGTTGATATAAGTTACACCATTTATCTCTTCCTTTATTTATTTTTGTTTTCAATAAAGAATTCGAAACAAAAAAGTATTATTCAAATTTCTCTTTCTATTTACAAACTTTTTATGCCTTGCAAAATTTCCATATCTCTTAGTTTTTGAGTAAAAAATGATACTCTCAAGCTTAAACCGTTTACATGATAGTAAAATATTTAAAGTGTTTTCTCGTTCTGATTTATGTATGTACAGTGCACTCCGGTTATAAAGTACCCTCTAAAGAGAAAAAATGTGTACTTTTTTTACCAGAGGTTCGCTATAAAAAAACACCATAAAAATAATATGTATTTTTTATTTGGTTTAGATAAACAACTAAGCTAAGAATAAATCCTAGGTAATACAAAAAATTGCATATGGAATACATAAACTGAAATAAGACCTAAATATGTACATAAATACATATGTATCTAAACATTTTGTTTTATTATTTTTCGGTAAAAAGACTTGTTCTTTTTGTTTGTTGCCTTTTTTTTTACATAATTTTATATTCTCGATGTGCTTCTCAGTTTTTAAAGATTTTTCACATTTTTGTGTTTAAATTAATTCACAATTAATTTTAAGGGATTTTTTTTTGTAAAATTAAGGCTTTATTGTGAAAAATTGTGTACATTATTTTTCATCTTTTTGGTAGCATACGGATTCCACATCGAAAGAACAACTCATCTTTTGGTACTATCCACTAATCGATTCAATTTTTCGTAATTTCATAAGATTGGAAACGCTGTTTAGCCAGGCCATTTTCCATGAATCGGAACAAGTAGTAATCCGATGGAGCAATATCTGGTGAATATGGTGGGTGGGGTAAAACATCCCATTTCAGTCTCTAGGTATTTTTTGACTTCATGAGCAACATGTGGTCGAGCATTATCATGTTAAAAAAACTTTATCGTGCCTTTGCTCGAATTGCGACCGTTTTTCCTTCAATGCAAACCTCAAATGCATCAATTGTGTTTGGTAGCGTTCACAAGTGATGGTTTCATTCGGATGAAGCAGCTCATAGTACACAGCAACAAGCTGGTCCCATCAAATACCGAGCATGAGTTTCGAACCATGAATATTTGCTCTTGACGTCAATGTTGATGCATGAACAAACTCCACCATTTTCTACGCTTAGGTTTATTATAGCGTATTAATTTTTCATCGCCATAAACAATACAATGCAAAAAAACCTTTCTTATTTATTGTTGAAGCAATTGTTCACACATGAAAAATCGTTGTTGAATATCTTTTAGCTTCAATTCTCCAATTTCCTTGCTTTTGAATGATACCGAGTGCATTTAAAGGTTTGGAAACTGTTGTGTGATATGCTTGCAATTTCTCTTCACTCTTTTTCGGTTGACCATGGCGTTCTTTGTCAATTGTATTAAAATCACCGCTTTTAAAATGTCAAAACCAATGCTCATAGGTTTTTATCTGTGTAGTATGTTAACCGTAAGTTTTCAACAGCACTCGATGACTCTTAGCAGCACTTTTCTTTAAAAAATAGGAGAAGTGAAACTTCCCGCAGATGGTGTTTTTGGTTTGTTGGTTCATAATTTGACATCTTCGGAGCTGAGAAAAAATATGTTGTTTACACTTCAGCAACATGTCACAAAATAAAAAGTAAAGCTAAGAAAAGCTTTGACATGAGTATAGTTATAGAAGTGCCCGATGCGATATACCATAAGTTACGCCATCTCTTGTAAATCACTCAAAATTAATTTACAGTTCTAGTACATTTTTGTTGAGCTCCAGTGCTTTACTTCTGATTACACCATACATGAACTGCATATTTGTGTATTAATGAAGTAAATAAATTATCTAGTTTGTTATCTTAATAAAAAGGGAAAGAACATTAATAGTACATTGACCTACAGCATTTTCAATTTACTTGCAATGAACTCGGTACATACCGAGTATATATCTTCATCCTCTGCAATCAATTTGAATAATAAAGGATGGAAATATTCTTAGTGCACACTTCATTTTTTCCAACCATTTCCAGTACATTCTGCATAAAATACAGCCTGTCGTCAATGATTTGTTTTTTTGTTTACCCTTGCAAATTTTATTTGTATCAAGTATTAATTTAAGTTAAAGACAAACACTACACATTTATTATTATTTATTTATTTCCATTTATTCCAGCTGGATTTAGTGTACAATATATTTTCTTATAGAGTGTTTATGTTTATATTATATTAAATACCTTGTGGTGTTCCACTTCTAACCTAATAATTTAGAGCCTCTAGACAGGACATGGCAGCGGCCGCATCTCCACAAATGGCTACGTCACCTTCTGGTCTTGGTCATACTGACCATCATACAACACTGATGGAAGATCCTGATGTGTGGCGCCCAACATAAGCATTTAACAAAAAGTATAACCATATATTAACTTCAGTATATGCTTGGCTCTTGCATTTTCATTAGCATGTTAGTAAATGTGGTCCATGCATGGTTTTTCCAGTTAGTGTGTTGCAAAATTCTGCTTAAAATTTAAGAAGTTATATAATTACTTTGTTCTTAAGTAGTTGACATGCAATAATGCCTTCATATTTATCGTGTTGATATTTGTATGTATGAGAAACTTTTACACGGGGTCTCTACACTATACCAAATATTTATTTTAGCTAAAAATGTGTTAGAATTAGACTTATAATTTAAATTTTCTGAATGGATCGAGTTGGTTTATTAATTGACAAACAGGTGGTTTGATTTTTTTAAATAAAATATTAAGAATAGATAGATCATCACAAAATAATGCTAGTTTGTTATACAGGGTGTAACTAAAATTCTGACATAATTTTTCATTACAAATTAACAAAAAATAAGTTCTTATAAATGTGTTTACAGAAATGCTTTATCGAGACATAATGTGTTTAAAACTTTCACCGCTTATAACTGATACAGACATACCTGCCCGATGCCAATCAGTTTTTTTTTACATATATTTGATTTCTCTTTTATGGATTTGGTTATTTGTCATCACAGGTGTGACATCTATACTGGATTTTATTATGCTTTGTAGAGGTCAATGCAATCTATTAAATTGAAATTAGGAATGTTACTCCAAAGAATATTTATTTATTATCTGGAAAGTCATCATATACATTGACTTCATCATCAGTTACTTCTTCTGAACTGCCTCCTCCTGTTTTCTTCTGCTTGTTTCTAATAAAAATTCTTTGGCATCCATGAAATTGCTATTTTTATCTGAAAACTCCATCATATAAAGATTTCTTACACAAGCCTCAATGATTTTACTTCTTCGTTATTTGTTGTCATTGCTGGCAAAAATACCCATACTATTAGAATTAGGTTATAAGCAAGCCAATAAAAGTGCAGCGTCAAGTCTCAAAGGCTAATTCCAAATGATAGTACAATATTTTGTATCTTCATGTCACTGTTGTGTCATCGGCTTCTGTCGAAAAAAAAATGTGTTTGTTTAGATTACAAGAAAACTGCTGAAAGATTTCATTCAAATTTGATAGCAGCTTTAGGGCCGGTACTTTCAGTCTAGATTAAATATACCGTTAACTAATTGGTCTACAAATTAATCCCAGTAAACTAACTGAAGTTTGAAGGATATTAGGTACTATACGGTATTTTTAAACGCTAGGTTAGATAAACAATTTTTAGGTAGGTTGCGCTTCATCCGACATGCTTATTTCATTTTCTTCTTCTTTTTGACATATCATATGATGTAAATTTTGAATGGGAATTTATCAATCACATACACACTAAATAATTTTCTTATTTAACCCAGGATTTGAATTAGGATAGTAGGAAAGACGTACATCGTACACAAATTTTAAATTTTCTTATGATGCATCTCATGTGTCATACATTTTTTGTCAAATCTGATGTATTAATTACTTTTGCTGTGTGATATATTTACTCAAAGATCTTGAACTATAATGGGTAGCAAAAAAAAGAGAAACAAATTTTACTGAGCATGAAATCGGTCTCCTAATGAATTATTGGCAACAGAACTAAAAATAATTGAAAACAAAAACACTGATGGGGTAACTCTTAGGGAAAATAATAGTGCATGACAGAGTAAACTGGTCCATAGCATCAATTTCATTTTACCTACAATGGAAATAAAATATAAAAAGTGAATATATAATATTGTAATATTACATACGGCTATTGCAGATTGCAGATTCAAACAGTTCAAAATATGTTTTAAGATTGCCTGAACAGTGTTTTTGGAAAACTGAAATCTGTACACCCTTCAAAATGATTGATGCGTGTTTTCACTACATATGTACGCATTAACGTAGTCGATCGTTTCCGTCAAATAGCACTCCCAATTCTTTTAAATACATTTTTTTAGAAAAACGTCAATTCTATCAAAAGTATCAAAATATGTTTCCTGCTAAATCATGTTAATCAGTCGGTAATCGCGGCTAGATGCTCCGATTAAATTTAACTATGGATACGCCCACTTTAACCCCTGGTCAGTAGTTGACTGCTTGAAAGTAACCGAAATGAACGGTTAAAGTTTAACAGGGTTATATTTATCTAATCTAGACTGAAAGTACTGCCCCTTATTTAGTGTTTAATTTTTCACAAAAATAAATACATATACACATTTTTTGTTTATATGTATACTGGCAAGTACCTAATATTGAGGTTGGACTTTTTGCCCACAATTTAGTTTTTTTCCAAGATATTTCAAATTGAATTCATTTTTAGATTTATGGAGCATTGAAGGTTTTACAAAAATGCATTTGCATTATTTTCAAGAAAATTGCAATATGTACCTTATACAAGCAATTGTTGCCAAAATTTTCATTATTATTTTTTAAATAATAGAATTCTAAATAGATGATAGATTGCTAGTGATTCCAGGAATCCGATTAAAAAATAAATAATTTCATTCTTCGCAACTTGAAAAAAATCATGTCATAGATAGGTTGATTTCCATATACCTTATCCCAATGCCTATGTCTGAGTTAAATGAGACTTTTTAATTGTCCAACGTTCTTCCGCATTGAATGGTAGGGACACAGTTGAAGTACAGTGTTCCATGTGAAAATCAGCCTTGCGTCAAAATTTAAATTTGTTTAAAACTGCATAAACTTGTCTAAAACCGAGAACTAAAACTGGTAAAAAAATTAATTTCATTAATGCACTTGATCAAGAACGTATAGTGACATCATTTAGTGCAACACAGAACACAATCTGCTTCTCGGCTGTATGCCATACAAATCATACAATTCCCATGTCAGTGGGACGGAACCTAATCTAAAGAAAATGGGATACAAAAATCAAACCACTCTATATTGAATCTTTAAATTTTCTTAGTTTAGAGGCACTCTGGAGATTTTTGTGGTATGTAGATTCAGATAGCAGTAATGGAGCCAGCATTCTACTTATGAATTTCACCATTTCTAGAAGTACCGAGAATGTATTTCATTGTTATGATATACTTTGCATAGCTGCTATGCCGCCTACCAGTTCTGTAAAGTTCCCTTGCACATCTGTTATTACTTTACGTATTTTACTAGCAAAAGTGCTTCGTACCAATGCTTAATTTAAAATTTTGTATCAGGGCATCAGCAGAAGATATGCGCCAGGCAGCAACTGCAGAGAACAGTACAACCAGACCCACTTCCAGTATGCACTCCAACCTTGTCGCTAACGCTCAACCCATCAGTTTTACAGGTTCTCCAGTCTTTGACAGCAATGTTTGATCAGAGACTGTATCATTTATTTTAAATGTTCTGCCCTTCCCATAGACTCTAGTTAAAACAAAAGTGGTATGATAGCAAAATATTTGTGTTAAACTTTAATTTATGCATTATATTAATTCATTTTTTATTGTTGATGGATAGCTACTTTTTCGCAGCTAAAAAAATTAATCAATCCTCATTGACTTTTTATATATCGTCTTCTGGTACTAGTATTTACTGGATTGTAGAACTTCTTCACTTTATCAAATTCTTGATGTCCGTGCAAGTAGTGTGATAATAATTTTGCTTTACATACTGAAATGCTTAAGTTTAGAATAAAACGTTAGTGATGTAATTTTATTTATCTTAAAAATATACTAGTATTTAGATGTTTAGCAAAAATACTTTTTTTTTTCAAGTATTAATATAGTAATTTTAAAGGAGTAATTTATTGAACTGATAAAATTTTATGATAATCACTATAAAAGTATTTTTATGGTTTTAATTGTTTCAATAAATGACGTATAACGAACAGATGGCTGTCTGATATGTAATATTATAAGATGGTCGAAGTTAATAAAGTAATATTAAGTATCGTTAGTAACATTTCGTTTTCACAGGTGTAAATTTTACAATGCTGTGTAATATGGGTAAATTAGTGACTACCAGTCAGTTGCAAACCAGTTCAAGTGAACATTTTTTAAAAATCTTGCGTCTGATCTGATTATTTTATCATATTTTCACAATTTGGGTTTTTAAAATGGGACTGCAACTGTGGTGTATTGCTGCAATTGTTTTAAAAGTGTGTCAGTTAAGACTGTTTAATTTCGTTAATTTTATGTAGTTAGAGACTATTATGTATTAGTTAAATCCTTTTAATTTTGCTCAAATATATTTACTCTCAAAAAATGAAGCTTAGAAAAATTATAGACCAATATTAAAAAATTGAATTAGAAATGTGGCATTCCAGTGATTGTGGTTAGAAAGCTAACAGTATGGCAGTTTTTATTTCATAGATTGAACATATCTTTCACATTTCATGATATCTCGCTAAATATCTCAATTAGTTTCCATCGAAGGAAAATTATTTTGTTATCATAAATGTTATTCTTCGACTGTCGTCATGTTGAAATTCATAATCTATTAGGTAAAAACTGTAATTAGAATTAAAGTTTAAATAGTAATGGTAACGAGGTAAATCACAGCAGTAGTAACGTTAATGTATCACAATATATAATGTGTAATAATGTATTTAAGAAGATAATATCTGTAGAAGCTTCGCGAATGAGTTTGTTGCATGTGCATTCAGGAAAGACAAATATTTACTAGGTAAAATCATGCTATTAATTTTATTATAATGTTTAATTTCACAAAGATTTAATATTGACAAGGAATGTAGTTTTAAGGGGTAACGCCAATCTAGAGGTTCGAAAAAAGGTGATTTTCGAGGAAAAGGCTTTATTGCATATGTTTTCAGGTAGTATTGTGAATTTTTTCAACTGATTTTGTTTCAAAATGGCGGCGTAGATAATGGCAAGCAATGTCACCTTTCAATCAGAATGATGTATGGACAGAAACATTTTTTATTAACAGATGATGTTGGAATAAAAAATAAAATTTTTTTGATATATGTATGTATATGAAAAGCTAGGGAATGTCGTAAGAAAATTAAAAAATATTGTTGATTTAGTGCATTGATTTGCTAATAACAATGAAAATTATTAATCAGTTGAAAAACCCTTACGATGTTCCCTGAATTATGTTATTGTGGAGCTCTGTACAAAATTTCAAGTCGATTCATTGAAAACTTTTCGAGTTATGTTTCTGGCCAGTTAAAAAAGTGGTTTCTCGAAAAGTGCTTTTAAAGATTTTGTTGCCATTCACCATAAGAAATCGTTGTATGTATACCTTCAATCGGCAATACCTGTATAGTCGTTACGATATCAGTTGGAACCGCATAAAAACATTTAACTCATAAACTCTACGGAATCCATAGGCGTCCAGAAAAATTTTGTCCTGTCTCGTTTAGATATACTATATTCCGAGCTATATTCCTTTTTAGTTGACGATATTCTCGATTTTTTGTAAATAATCTTCCCGAAGTGCAACTATACGTTGTGATTCCATAATTACCATAATGTCAAGTTTTTTATGTTTAAAACCGCATTGTGATAAAACATGTCGTAAAGTATCTAAAGATTTATAATTATAGTCAGGATAATCGCTTAATTTATTTTGAATCATGCTTAAAGTAGGAACTTTATTTTCTTTATACATATAAATTGTGCGCCGTATTACATCTTTGGTAAAATCGCCAATATTCTTTAATTTTGTATTTTTCTGCTTCTTTGTACCGTAATTAATAACGTCTCCTTCTTTAATTACACGATAAATTGTCGTTTTTGATATCTTAGTTAATTTGTTATTCCGTTTCCTAATTTCTTTATCACATTGTTCACTATTATCTCTTCAAACATATAATTCATATATATTTAAAATAATACTTTGACTTGGTACGTGTAAATCTTTGTTTTTAAACTTCGAGTTTGTTTCGACGCTTTGGACAAAAACTGGCTCGACTATTTGGAGATTTTCCCTGGTTATTTCGTTATTTTCCGTATCAAAGGGTCTTCAGAAGGCCATGCTAAATTACTAGATAATAATTACATATATTTATTTTAATAACTATTACTCTTTACTGGTTACGATATGAACAAATATTAATATTAACTAATAATTAATAATACGTATTATACCAACAATAAATATACCATGCCAAGCACTGCTCTCTACGGCACTGACAAAGCCAAGTGAACCGCGTTTGACACCAAATTAATTATAGAATACCATGCAAAAAATTATTTACGACCTAGTGGACCAATACAGGTTTGCTTTGATGACCAGCGCGCCGTGGTCCATTCTACATCAGGCACACTAGCTACCGATACCGGACTCGCACAATGGCTATTCGAGTATAAATTATTACGAGACACATCATGGTTAAAGCATATGAAGAAATTTCAAGAGAAATGCAGACGGTCCTGTTTTTTAAGATTCACAGGATCCAATTGATATCGTAACAACTATACCATATAATTGGCTTTCTATATTGATATTTTCTTCACCCTCTTCTTTTCGGTTTGATCCGAGACTCGATCTGGGCTCTATAATAGCTAACTATTACTCGCGTTCTCACATGTTACAATAAGCACTCCTGCAGTGCACTGCGAGTAGTTGCACTCTGCCTCGAAAAAACTCCAGATTTTTCCCCCACCTAAAACTTTTCTCCTACATACTTCACATAATAAAGCATTGTTTATCCAAACATCGATTTTTTCAAAATTCTAGAGTGGTTTTATCCTTTAAGAAATTAAAGGTACAAACTGATAAAAGTTAATGCACATTGAATAAAATGATACTTACGTTTAACTGTAGTAAATGTTTTATATTTGACAATCCATTGCTGCATTTTTTTAGAAATAACTACACATCAGGAATTTTAGTATGTTTGATGTTTACATGAAAGCTAGTCATTTCGACCGAGAAATTATTTTGTGATTTTATACATTTATTTATCGGGTTTTCCTTTAAATACTTCCATTATTTGATTATAGGAGTATGCCTATTTATAATATATATGTCAGTTGCAAGTAGAAGTAATGAGTGATCTTGAAGTAAGCACTATACGTATTGTAACCAGTAAAATTTAAAAAAAAAATTTTCTTAAATAATTTCTTTGTGACAAAATGTTTATAAAGACTTCATTTATACTGATCTAACAGTATTTACTTATTTTTCGAACCATTTTTAGCCATTATTTTTACTGTTTTACTTCTACCTGCAGGTGTGCATTTGTTACCTATAAATAAGATTAACCATGCCTAGTATATAACCTATTGAAGACTTAATTACCTTCTAATGTAAATGTAATTACTGTATTGTTGATAGAATTGTATAATTGATGTTTATTGTAGCAATAAATAAGTCTTATATTGAAGTAATGGTTTTCTTCTGCTTAAAAATTTAAATTTTGGAAAATCTTAAAAAATGTCATTTACTCAGTTAACAATTATAAATTTTATGTCAAAAATTATCAAAAAATACTTTAACATTTTTTTATTATATCTTAAAATTTTTATGTAATCGAATTTTTTTTTAAGTAGGATAAAAATAAAAATTTGATTTTTCATAGCATTTATATATTTCTAAATAATAATATTTAAAGTTTCCAAGTTGAATTGCCAAAATATTAGGCAGTGGTTTATTGTCAACATGCAGATTCCATGGGCATATCATTTTAAAGGGTTTCAAAACTGTTGATATACAAGTTTATTCATATAACATTTTACGTCCCCCCCCCCTTAACTTTTTTATTTTTTGAATTAGACAAAAATAGTTAAGATAAAAGCTGAGGGAATCTTTCTGTGAGTTTATGAAAATAGAAATGATAACTGGGCGTTCCAAAGATATGAACCAAACATGTTTTTTTAAGTGCAACACCTTGTATATTATTTGATTTTCGGAATCTCTGCTTCTTCCTGATTCCAACAATATATACAGGGTGTCCCATAAGCACATGATCAAAAAGGTACTGCGATATTCTTTAGCTCAAAAGAAGACGATTTGACCTAACTTGCATTAAGAAGAAATGTCTGGCTCCTCTGCTATTGATTGTCAAAGTTCTTGAAAAAAAAAAATGTTTTTTGTAATATCTGAAGAATGTTACGATGGATTTTAATGGAACTTGCTGTGGACTTGTTCCTAATTAAGACTCATGTTTTGATGAAGCAACCGCATCCATCCGCCTTGAGATTTTCGTGCTCTTGGTAAAATCTTGTAGCATTCATATTTTTTACTCAAAAAATGTATTCTGTTTCGTTGCGACTTAACAATTTTAGATCGCAGTAAACCTGCCCTTTTACAGGAAGCAGCTTTCTCTAATAATTATGACAATTCTTTTACCTAGGATATCAATATTGAAAGTAAAATGGTCACAATTTTAAAGTATTACTTTAATTTGTATTATTTAACACAATTACCAGTATTTCTCCATTTGTTGTAGATATATCTGATATATATTTTATGAGGTATGCATCTTGTGGGGAATCTTCGTGCAGACTCGCATCTAGTGTGCATGGCATTTTTCTCACAAGAAATATTGCATTCAACAATATCATTTTTTTCATCAACACTAAAAATTATACACCATTTTCAAAGGAGTACAGACAATAATGTTACATCTGTCTATTCGGTTCTATGAAAACATATTTATTCTACATAGCGATTTTGATATTTATTGTTCATGTCTTTCAAAGCAGAATATTAAGCAAATTGTTATATAAATCTACAACATATATACATTGTGGGAATCAGGAAGAGGCAGAGATTCCGAAAATCGAATAATATACAGGGTGTTCCATTTAAAACATAAACATAAAACATAATTTTGGTTCATATCTTTGAAACACCCTGTATAATTTATATTTTCATAAACTCATTAAATTCACAGAAAGATTCCACACAACTTTTACTTTAACTATTTCTGTCTAACTCAAAAAATAAAAAAGTTAAGGGGGGTAAAATGTTATATGAATAACCCTGTACAAGAAATATACATGTCGATTTTGGTGAATACTAGATTATCCTTACAAATGTACACTCATTTTGGTATATCCAAATATGCAACGGGTAGGTATAGGTACGTTTTAATTATACCCCAAATTATATATTCAGCAATTCTGCACTTGTAGGCAAAGATGACCTTACCAACTGGACAAGTGAACTCTGCAAAAAATTATTTAAATAAAGAAACACAAGATCAGTAATGTCACTAAGGTCTAGTACTTTGAGTCTTAGTTAAGACTTGATTAACTAATCAGGAGATTAGACTGTGAATATATTTTGATGAAATAAATCAGTATATGTACAGTCTAATCATGTGATTACTTGACCAAGAGCACTATCACTGAAAAATGAGATGCATCATTGACAAAACACTATAAACGACCATTATAAGCATTAGTAAAATCACTAAGTATTGTCACAACCTAAATAGATTTATATCTAGGCTGTGGTATTGTTATCGCTATCACTGCTGTCAGTTGAAGGCATGATAAATGGTTGTATTTTGTATTATAACTTCAGCTGTTGTATCTAGGTTCCACATTTGCTTTCTTATTTTTGTAAATATAAATGCACTTGTATGAAAATGCTATAGTGGGCTGTGTCTAAAAATGCATAAAGTATAAATTGTATGGACACTTACCAGTACAGTAACATGCTATTAGTAGAGATAAAAAGGAGAAAATCTAATACATTATCATTGGGAAGTAACTAACGATGCAGTAAATTCAATTAATTATCCAAAAAATAATTATATAGCGTAGATTTTGCAATGAATTAGTAACATTGATTCAAAGAAATCGTGATTCTATACTATATTTCTTATCAGAGCCATTTTTCTGCACACATCAATTATGAAATTAAAAAGGAATATTTTGTTTAAAAATTATACATACTACGCCATTTGTAGCAGTGACAGAAGTAGGTTAGGTTAGCAGTGACAGAAGTAGGTAGGTAACTCAAGAAATCATTAACATTTAAATTTATTGAATATGGCCTAAAACATTCACTATATCTCCACAGT